GAGTTTGAGAGAAATTGTAAAGTTAAATTAGACATTCTCACTGAAGTTGATTTTTTGGCTGATATCTCTCTAATCGTAAATAATGGGCTACCTTTTTTGCATGATTTAAAACTTTACTCTACAAAATTCATTTACTTTAAGAGTCTCTAATCTAATTCCCCTCTTTGTACAAATCTCCAATTCTGATTTTATGCTTACTTGTTGAATAGAGTGTCTCAGAAGGTGATAACTATGTATCGGTAATAAATGACCTAACTAACTGAGTCGGTTAAGAGTGACATCTTCCTTAACTAACGCACCGAAAGGTGTTAATGACTAACTCTGATTGTTCTAGGGATTTTACGCTCACTGGTGACTAGCTTCGTGGGGAAATTCTCGGAGTTCTAATGAGAAGAAGTGATTAGTGTAGTTCAACCCTGTCAGGTGTCGCCACTAACTACTAGAGACAAATGGGTGAGGTCGCGCAAAATCCCTAGATCAATCAGAGCTAGACATTACCACTGCTGGATGCCGGCCAGTGGCCCAAAGGTTAGCTGTTTGCTCACAATACCGAGAGTCCCGGGTTCGAATCCTGCAAGTGGTAGGAGTTTTGGATGCTCACTGCTGATGAGTCCTATACCAGGACGAAACGGACGTCCAGTGCTTCCTGGTTTCTAATGGTTGTCTAACAATCACTGATTGATGATTCAACATGTGCAAAATCTATTGCCAGTTTTTGTCAAATACTAAATCTCAATAGTTCGTCGATTGATCTATTATGATTCTGTGATTTCAGTCAGCTCAGTTCGTTACAACGTAAAACTTTGCAAGTAAGTACTTCATTTCAGGTTGCTTTATAACATTAGCACAGAGAGATGAAATGGTCATTTCATATCACATAGTGGTAGAGATAACAGAAGTATTAGCAGTAATGGAGAAGATTATGGTTCGAAGATATGATTCGAGAAGTATAATTCAGTGAGATAACTTTAGAAAGAGAAAGATAGAGCTGATGAGGTGTTTCCGACATTAGAATTTTAGAAAACACAATAAATGAATGTCCCTGCAAACGCTTCTGACCTAAGTCATTCAAGGCCTCTAATCATTGGTTACCATCATCTCTCGGACCCTAACTAGGTAATCTACATCTACCAATATGATTCAGTCCATTTGCCAGTGACTCCATGGATTGGTGCCATGGTTTAACCTGGTTGCCCCTAGCCTTTTTTCAGACTACCCCTACACCACAAAGCACAACTCATCAAGTTACTTGGTGGTAAGGCAAACTTAAGTTAAGTGAGTTAACGTTTCGTTTCATAAATATAATGTTTAATCTCTCTCAGTCTCCTAATAAATGACTAGCTATTATAGTTTAACCATTATGATAATATTTTCCAATAGTCTGATTGTTTATCTTTGAATAATAAGTAACAGAAAAACAGTTTAAATTTTAAAGGATGAGCTATTTAAATTACATTTTAGAATAATAAGAAAATATCTAGACATAAACAGAAACGAGAGTTATCTCATACTGTCTTTACTTATAGTCGAATAAATAGATCTGTTCTTTTTATCTAAACAAGTGAAATCATGACGGTGTTTACTTGGATTGTCTGTGAAGATTAGTTTGATGAGTAACGAATCAAAATCAAGTAAAATGATCATTGAAAACTATGACATACTAGACAAGTAGATCGTTTTAGTTTGGAGTTTTTGACGAGTTATCCGTTTAACTTATGAATAATTCTATTTGCTAGACAACAACTACATTTTAGCTAAATCCCTAAAGGTAAAATCTTTTCTAGATAATATTTAGATACATATCAGTAATGATAATTATTCTGCCTGTAACAAACACTACTTCAAACGATTAGGAAATTTAAGCCGTAAGATTCCCACTTAGTGATTTAACGAGAAATTGTTTTGTGCAACATGTTGGGTTTGATAATTAATGAGGCTATAAGTGTAAGCTGTTAGGAATTTATAAACTGGGAAAAACAAATATGTACAAATCCATAACTTTTCAATGGTTCTTTACATAATTTCACACACAAATATCACTAGAAGAAAACTGTTATGCTCGTCAATTGATATACTTGAAACTATTACGAGTTCACCTTAGCGGTAAACGAGGTGATTCAGTGACACGATTGGCTACTCTAATCCGAACGTCCTAAAGCCCCACTAAGTAAACGAAGAGGTCTTGATTTGGCGTAGAATGTGCATTTTACAAGCACCCAGAAAATCGAGGTTGACAAGCACATAGATCAAGTTCATTTACACATGATAGAAACATCCTTAGGAGTGCCACAAAAATGGCGCACTAAAATAATACATAAATCAATAACAGTCAAGGATTTTCCGAGTGACAAATGTTATCTCAATGCCAACCGATCAGTCCATGCGCAAAAACACAACATCCAAAATTAGGACCTTTATCAAGTGAATTCTGGGGATCTAACGTTCCCAAAAATACTTCAATCAGTAGGTATTTTAAGCATGTAATTTGAAAAATACACGAATCCTAGTAATTTTCTTAGCCGTTATTTCAGAGGTTATTAAATACTAAATGGACAAATATTAATTTAACCACAGAGAAATGTAGGCAGGATTACGTAAAATTAAATTTGTTGGGACTGCCTTTCAATAAAAAATTCTGTCTTTTTTTATATGCATAATACTGAAACACTTGATAAATATTCACTAACATATATCAATTACAACTTCCATGAATAATGGTAATTCTTCACTTGTATTAATTTTCATTAAAGGGTCGTACAGATTGTTGAGTTTCATTGCAATCGTAAAACGATCAATATTAGATCACCATTAGAAATGTGGAAACACTGAACGGCCGTTTCGTTCTAGAATAGGACTCATCGGAAACGTGCATCCACGATGATTTTTATGAAAACCAACTATTCTCACAACAGTTTAATGAAAATTATCATGTGCTCACTGGTGACTCGCTCCATGAGGAATTTTATCCCAGTTGTAATGAGAAGTCATGATTAGTGGATCTCAACCCTGTTTGGGTGTGAAGCACTTTCCATCGAAGAGGTTGCGAAAGACAGTGAACTGATCGAAGTTCGACATTAACACCGTTGAATGCAGGCTTTTTGGTCTAGAATTTAAGCGCTAGCTTGTGAGATCCAAGCTCTTGGGGTCATGGACGTGTACTACTGATGAGTCTAATACCAGGACGAAACGGCCGTTGAATACTTCCAGATTTCTAATGGTGGCTTAACATCGACTTCAATGACACTTCTATTAATGTAAAAACTACCCATTTCATGATTATTTTGACCGTTTAGCCACTCTTTAATAAAATGATGTATACCAAATAGTTACATTGCTGTAACTAAAGTACTACACTGTTTCCAATAAGTATTGATCAGTTACTTGTTTCATTTCAATAAAAACTTGAAATTTGTCTATATTCTGAAATATCTCATTTTTATAGTAACGTTCTGAAGTGACATGAACATTATCTGGCAATCTAAATATATTTTGTGGGTAAATGATTGATTTATAGAATACTATCGGTAGTAAATGACCAGACAAAGGTGATTAATTGATTAATTGTGAACATTTCACTTATGGTGTAAACACCACGGTTAGGCTGAAACTCGGTAATGAGGGCTCGAACTCTACAGGGAGTATTCATTCCCTTACAATTGTAAGTATCCCTTTCTCAAAAGCCACAACTAGGTCTGTAGTTTTCAACGGACTACCTCTAGACATCTAGTAACACAGATAATAATATTTGTAAATAGATCACATTAACGCTTACAAAACTTTTAAATTACATTAGGCCTTTAACTGATATTTGATAACAAATGAATTCATTTGATCATAGCTTCATAAAATTAAAAGGAATACAAGTTAACTAGTTAAATACTTGCAAAAAAAAATTCTAAAGACTCTGTCAGACTCTGTAGTTGTGATCAATGACATCCAACACAGTACAAATGATAATGAGTGTTGGTAAAGTTATATTTTTCAGTAAGCGGAGATCACAAATGGAAAACAATTTTTTTGGATATTAACTTATCAATTTACATTTAACTCAGTTGTTCAAGGTTCAATTCCATCATAGAGTTCTATGTCAGACAGTTCAACAGATATTCTGATATTTTAGTAAAGTCAGTTTAGTTCTTCAAACTTTAGATGTAAATCAACTGTTGATTTCCTGAAGTGAATTGGTTTACTAAAATACTACTAGTCATCTTCATTTTTCTTATCACCTTATTGTTGACTCTTAAATTCATTTAGAAAATTTTACTAAACAGTATCATGAAGATGGTAAAACTTGCAAACAACGAAATGATTAGTGAAATGATTCAAATCAAATGTTTTTTGTGACCGTCATGTCAGTTATCTGTATACAGCTAACTATAATTTCTCCTCAACTTAGTCAACCAATTTTGGTTTTTTGAGAACAGAAAATTATTTAGTTATTCATTGTATGCATTCCGTAAAAATTGGAAGTTCAATTAGAGTTCAACCCTGTTGGGGGTAAGCAGTAACTACCAAAGGCAAATGGGTGAGTTCGCGCGAAATCCCTAGATTAATCAGAGTTAGAGATTAACACCGCTGGATTCAGACCCAATGGTTCAAAGGTTAGGTGTTCACGCACAAGACCGAAGGTTCCGGGTTTGAATTCTGCGAGGTGTAAGAGTCGTGGATGCGCACTGCAACTGATGAGTCCCATACCAGGACGAAACGGCCTTCCAGTGCTTCCAGGTTTCTAATGGTTGTCTAACAATAACTGATTGATGATTTAAAATGTGTAAAAATACACTAACCTCTATAACTCTAATTGAATATTGTCTTACTCAATATTTGCCATCATAATGTTTATACTTTTAAACAACATTAATATCTAGAAACTAATAGATTTCCATGTTAACCAAAGTAATCATTACCTTGAAATCTTACTTTCACTTAACTCAATCTAATTATATCTAATTAGAATATTTTAAAGAATTATATAATTTTAAAAATGTTCATAAACATACCTTCTTCTGATACAGTGAAACTACTACTTTGACCTTGTGACTGTAATATATTTTCATTAGTTAATAAAGGCGATTGTCTATGAACAGAATCAGTACCTTGTGAACTAGGCTCCGATTGATGTCCAAATCCATAATGTTGACCTCGTTTAGTTGGAGGCAGTGTACTCAAAGCACTTTTACTACGAAATACACTACTGTTTCTATTTTTACTAGGTGTTTTATCAGTTGAGGTATTCGTCGGATCAATGGTAATATTGTCTAAATTAGTATATTCCAAATCAATATTAGTTTGAGTTTGTGGTTTCACAATGTAATCTTGTAATGTAGCAATCTCATCACTATGAAATCGTGTATGAAATGTCTCTTTCGGCAGGTCTTTCTGTATAGGTTTTTGAGCGTCAGATACTGTGGTAATTTCAGTTGGCTGCGGTTCTTCAAAACTTGCTTGACGTTTAAAATCTGTCAATGGACTAAGTTTTGCTGTAGTTGTTCTCACTGTACGTCTACTACTTAAACTACTTTTATTCAGTTTAGCTATTTGATTGAATTGTTGCGTGATACTATCGGGAATTGCATCGGAACTTAATAGATTTACAGTAATCAAGTCAATTTTAGGATTGGTAGTTAAATTTCCAGAAGGAATTGTAGAAGTTGTTGTATTGATAACACTGGTCGTATTCGTTGTTGTATTCACGCTGGCAGCACTCGTAGTAATTACGGTTGTTTCATCAGTTGTCGAAGATGTAACTGGAGTTTGGACAGTTTGTCCACTTAAACTATTCTCATCAACATTTGTTGTCATCAGTTTCGACTCTTCATTGATTATTTCTTGTCCTAGACTATTGTCTTTATCATCAGTTACATTTCCATGTGAACTAATTAATGATTTGCCTAAATCGTAAAGAATTTTATCTGATACACTATTCGACGTGGAATCAGTTAGTGAGATAAACTCTTTGCCTAATACTTCAGTGTTTGTCGTTGAACTACCTATTGCTAATGGCAAATAGTAGATATGTTCATCGGTGGATTTCTGTTGTTCATCACATGTAATCTCATTATCATCTTCCAGGATAATATTGAATACTTTTAAATTAGTAGAATCATTTTGTTGAAATGTCTCATTATTATTATCATTATTATTGTTAGACGGTAAGCAATTATTTTGATCAATAATAGTAGTATCGATTGAATTTTGTTTTTGAGTAGTTAACACCAACTGTTCATCCTCCATAAACTGTGTATCTACCAAATTGAATTGATTCTCTTTACAATTATTTGTACAATGTTCAATAATTGATGATAAATTTTCATCAGGTTGATTGAATTCCTCATTCATTTTGTGCTTTTTTTTGTGTCAAATGATAAATTTGATAATAGACATTAAAATTAAACAACAAGTATCATTCACAACGGGATAAAATATCATTGAATAGTAAGTTTATTCACGGGTTTTTCTGTTCACCTTTCTATTGTTCAATGTTCAATGAAATAGTGTAAGATATGCTTGAAATGTTGACGTAAACGAATATGGATAGATATAATTTAGACGAAAGAAATAATTATAAAAACTGAATTTATCATAATTGTTTTTGTGTATGTAAACAGTGCAAAAGAAAGCGTACAAACAAGCCAGCAAGCGAGCGTCCGAGCGACCGACACAGAGAGAGAGAGAGATGAACACACCCTAGTCATAAATAGTAACACTATGTGTGTGCAAAAATATTACCTAAACTGCATATTCAAGCAAAGTAATCAATCAAACATGATGTTATACCCCAGGAATATATTGAACCAATCAGAAGTTTTGATTGTGTGTGTAAAATATTTTCCCCAAAATTGAACGCCTACTTGTTGTGTTTAAAAATGGCACAATGTGTTATATATGTATATATATATACAGTTTAAATCATGTGAAATTACAATGAACACTTCGTATTAGTTAATCTGTAATAGAATTTTTTTTAAAAACTGAAGGAAACAAATCAAACAAAAACTATTTCTCCTATCAAGAATGAATAGTGTAGATGATTGTGCATTGGTGTTGTATGAAAAACACTATAAACTATCAAGAAGTATACTGTGATAGACAGAAATGAAACAAAAATAGACCAGTATAGTAAGTTTGTGTCTACTAGACAATTATTTACTATGAGGTTTCAGGATTATTGTGTAGAATGATGATGTATAGTTATTATTACATTGTGTTTTTATTTTACAGGTGGTGTCAATTTATATTGTTGTTACTGTTAGCGATCGGAATGATTTAGTGGTTTTTTTTTGTAGTGTAAAATGTTTCGATTATCAAGTTAGTGAGTGAATCAACATTGTTTAGTTGTTGCGTAATGAAAGTTTGTTTGTACAATAGGTGGCGTGTAAACGAATGCACTAAATCACTAAACTTGACTAGTCAATATTTCATCGACAAATGAACATGAAAAGCCGAAGAAAATAAAGTGAAGTAATGATTTTTTTTCTATTCAGAATTAAAATGGTAGTATTAGGATGTGATTTTAATTGGATAACTAATGACAGGCTGACGAGAGCTTAATAAGATGTAGTTTGTGTATAAATATGCCGAGCCTACAATGCTGGTCCCAGCCTCTGGACAAATTAACCAATCCATTCTTAGTCGAGTCATTATTCATACGTCTTTCAACCTGTTGGGAATGTTAGATCTCCAGAAATCGCTTGATAAATATCTTTATTTTGGTTGTATTTCATGGACCGATCAGTTGACCTTGAGATCACATTTCCCACAAAGGAAAATCCTTGGCTGTGATTGGTTACTGTGTCATTTTAGTGGGCTATTTTGTGACTATCCCAAGGACGTCTCTATGGAGTATAAATAAACGCAATTCGAGTATTTGGTTTCATTATGTGTTGGCAGCGTGTTTGTAGAATACACTTTCTACACTATATCAAGACTTCTTGCTGGTACACTTGGGACAATCGGATCTTAGAAGCCTACCTGGACACTGGTTCATTGTTTTGTTCTCATTATTCGGCTAAGGTAAACTCGTAATAGTTTTAAGCACACCTAGAGACAAGCGTAACACAACCTTGTCATTTAATCGCTCATCTTCTTAGTTGCATTGCTTTCTTCACCTCTGACATGACTAGTTTATTTTTGTCCGACGATAAATGGTTAGTCATGCCGCATCACATTGAGTTGACTCACTCACCTTATCACTTTGCTTTGCTTTGCTTTTATGCTTCGTATTCTTATATATCTGTCTTCGTGAACGATTGAATTAAATATGTTTATCCACAAAACCTTATTTAGCTTCTGATTACCGCCTTTGCACAAACCCGTTCGCTTAAGAAATTAAAGGGAAGATTTATTTCATATCCAATCGCTCATCCACATTGAAGCCCATTAAAAGGGTTTCTATTCATTTTATCGTTCATGAGAAGTTATTATCTACTAAACAAACTTGGAAATCATAATTTTGTTCAATTATTTGAGGGGTTTCTTGACAATAACTTCTAGGCAAATGGATGAATAAACCTTAAGACAATTAGCTTATTTGATAAGAAAACAATATCGAACTGATGAAAAACGATATACAAACTGCACAATTGTTATGCAGTGAAACAGTAGTAACTTTCTTCATGAAACGGAACAATGAGTAAGTTAACTATCTTTAATATATTACAAGATGTGTTCAACAGATCCAGTATGACGGATGTATGCCCATCAATTTTGCGGTGGTCGAAATTCAAAGTATTCCTAAATCTCGTTTACTGCTCGTCCTGATAACCTTTACTGGACAACGGCGGACGGTGTATAAATACGAAGATGAATACGAGGCGTTGATTACGTTTATTATGGCACCCCAAACAGATCAAAAAACCACAGGCATACGAAGCGAAAATGAAATAGGATGGCCGAAGAGCAAGCGAGCGAGTGAGTGAGTGAGTGAGTGACTGAGTGAGCGAATTGGATTAGAATGTACATATATATACATAGGTAAATTAATGAGTCATGAAGTTGTTTAAGAGGCTATTATTGGAGCGATTAGAATGAATAAATATGCAAGCTGTAAGCAATATTCAATGATACCTGTTCTTACAAGCGCGACAATAATGCAAGCACAATGATGCAGTCAAGTTATTTCAAATACGAATAACTCTGCCTATTAAATAAGTTAATCAAAAGGGCTCAGCCAAATTAAATGTGAACAAACTCAAATGTATGTGAAGGTACTTCACCAGCTATCAAAATGATTAAAAGTGGAAAAATCAAACTTCGAAGGTCTGTGAACGCTTGTGAATAAAACAGAGATGGTTCCATCTAGATCAACTTATAACCAGCAAACCAATCACAAACCTACATACACTAAACACAGTGTCACTTACAAATATTTTCATAGCCATGGCCTTTATACAATGCACTACCGAGTTTTTAGGGTTTTTTATAGCCTGCCTCATTCATAAATAGCAGTATTATATTTCAGACAAGTCGGGGGATTTCTGTCTTTAATAATACAATTATTGTTATGGTTACTGATTTTGTATATTCAAACGATAAACACTTTAGGTGATTTCAAGTTCAGATTTCTGTGACTAACTGTTTGTATCGGTTGTTTGAATCTTCCCATTGACAATTTGGACTGCAACTGATCTGTCTCTTTACCACGTATTCTTCTTGTGCAGACTGCCTCGATATTGCTTTCAAGTTACAAGAGTTGTTAGCTGAGGTGGACAGTGGTTAGCAGTGGAATTCAAGACGCGCATTTCGTTCTACTTTAGACTCATCAGAATGATGTACCTGTATCTGAAATGTAATGTTCACTTGAAGACTCCAACCCAGCACCTTTTGCTTCAACCGCCATCGCGTTATCTACTTAACTACTAAGTCCAGAAGTCGATCCATTACTCTGAAATATATTTTTAACAACTTTTACTCCAAGAGTTATAGCCTAGTTTACAGCTGATTATATATTATAATTTATTTTCAATGCTGAAAGGTTAGTTTGCTTTATTGATAGCTTCCAGATCCACTGTGCTTCTGAAAAAGCCCTGAATATGTACCCTACTATAACCACTTTTCTGGCTTTCGATGTACATACAAAAGGAGGTAGATGGTAATATTCAATATGCCATCACTGTGAGACGGATGGAGCAATCTCCAATTATTTTCTTAAACTAAATTTTACATCCTCTTAATGTAGCAGAATCAAGAAAAAACCCTCGTGGTTGGATCTTACTATATATATCTCTACGTGGAGAGTGAATGGAGTGTAAAGAAAATCTTATTAGCACACAAAAACCCGGCATGTCAATATGGCGGAAAAGGAGATACGGTACCTACTTAAAACAGAGTGGTTAATAATCCTAACTTTTACATTTGTTTACATCCCAATGTCCAGTGTTATTTTACTGTTTTCCACTTACTGTTGGTTAATACCAGTTCTTGACATGCTTGCTTACATGCCGAGGCTTACTTTGACCAGAAAACATTACTGCAATTTGTGTTGACTAAGCTAGAAATGACTGTATAATGAGTCTTTTAGAGTGATGTTTTAAGAAGTGCATCTCTAGTGGTCTGTCCATATTGGCTGACATGGAGGCTGACAGTCAGAGGATTCTGTATGCTATTTTGAAACTTTACTCTTGATTCGCTCGTTAAGCTGCTAAGTCTGCAAAAACGTGTAGTGATTTCAGTGTCACGAAGAAAAACATGGTTGGTTAAGCAGCAACATTCATGATTATAACTAAATGTACTAGTGAACATTTTTATCGAACATCTTGTTTATTTGGACATTTGTAACGCGCATATTTTTATAGTGGTCGGTCAGCATCTTGATTTCGCTACTCTTTACCTTCCCTCACTTCTTTGGCACGTTTCGATATTGTTTCGGTACCACGAAATCGCTAGCAAATACATATATTTCTTTCGATACGAGATTCCGAATAACTCTTGGGACGCGAACGCAGCTGATTAACAGACGTGTTCTAAGCCTTTCGAATCGGACATCTACAAAAGTTTGCTTCTAAGGACCTATGAAATAAAAATGCTAACTTACATTCATCGTAAAACTTTTTCTTTAGTTCCAATATCCAATATCTTTTTTCACGGACTAGTATAAACCAATTGATTTCTTCGCGCTCGATTCTTGTTCTTTCGGTAGGTTTGCAGGTGTTTGGTAGTGTTCAATGAATGGGGATGTAGCCACTCATCTGTCTAATTCTAGTCAGTTGGCAGTTGTTTGTGACTTTGCATGTCCCGTGATTTGAATGAATTCGTTTGCGTCAGGGCAGTAGGATTTCTGGATACCAGCAGCTATCACACTACCAGACCGGATATCAGTCAGTTGCAGTATGGAGAAAAGTTTAATGTTGGTACTCAAAAGATTTGAGGACTAGGTCTATAATGAATAATTGAGTAAAGATTGTGCA